AACAAGACTCAAGTCCAGAAGTGGATGAATAACCATAATCTTCCACTGGAGTTTACAGCCAGGGAATGCACAGAAGAAGAAGATACGATGTCCAAGAAACACAGACCGTCTATGTCCAACAGTTCTTCTGAACAGTTTACGACCGTCATCTATCTCAGCCAGGACTGATTTGCTAGTTTTTATATTACTCCATGACACTCTAAATTCTTCTTAAAAAAACAAAAACCACATTTTCGCTGTGAGTAAAGACATCACAATCCTAACAACAGACCACTGTAACTCCTGAAAAACCTGGCCTAATGACAAACAACACTAGAGAAAAACAAAAGAAAACAAGACTGACGTGCTTCATCAGTGGTAACTTCAGTAGAGGCAGGCTCGCTCCAGGGGTTGATCTCACCGGCTCTGATTTGAACACTCAACTTGTAGGTTGTAAACGGGCTCAAGGAGCAGACAGTGATGTAATCCTGTCCATTTGGTTTGACTCCCGGTTCTGTCCACTGAAATATGTGAGATTGAAAGCATTTCTGGTTTAGAATGTTCAAGAAGATCTGCCATGAATCACACCTTTTACATTTAAGAAGATTTTGTTGGAATAATGGTGTATTTTTACAACTAACAAGATTTGGTTGAAATCAGTCATTCAGTCAGTCAGTAGCATGTCCTTTGCAGAACCTTGCTCCCATTACAACCTTCTGGAAAACTTCTCCATCACAAGCAAGATGTTCCATGTCTGATACACCCATCTGGATGGAGATCATCTGCCACATCCTGAACCTATCTTCTCTTTGAAATCATAATGTGTACTGATAAGATCTTGTTTAATTTTACAACCGATAAGATTTAGTTTAAATCACATTGTGAAATTTTACAATTGTCTAGCTCTTGCTGAAATCAACACTATGTAATTTTACACCCGACAAGCTTTGGTTGGAACCACATTGGGCAATTCTACAAGTGGCAAGCCTCTGGTTGACATCACATTGTGTAACTTTACAACTGATACCCTTGGCCTTTATTAGCAACCTTCTTCTCAAGGTTTCCATCAGACATCATTGTTTCCTCAATCCACCTGCTTCCCATTTCAGTGGCTGTTTGGTGATTCTCTGACCATTTCTCTTGATGATGTGCCCTCTTCTTTGTCTTAGAACTGATGATGCTAGTGGATTTCCTAAAATTGCTATTATTTTTTTTTATCTTTCTTGAATTATTCCGATTTAATGTTCATTACTTTTGAACATTTGTTTTTTAATGTAGTTAACTTTTGTTTCTAGTATAAAATCAAGGCATTTGATAATGATGATGATGATGTTCAACAAAATATTCTTACCAGCGCTAAGTATTAGGGTTAAACAAGGACATCGTCTTCAGAGGACAGATGGAAAATAATCACGACAGAAATGAAATGTTTATATGTATCATGCTAGGTAAATCGACACTGAAACAATACTGAACTTTATCTGGTTTAGCCATCTTACAATACTGTCAACAGACAGGGCATTATACAGAGCAATGTTATACAGATATAGTGGTAACAGAGCCAGAGGTCGACCACTTTTGGCCACCACTTTACAACACATTTCCAAGAAATCACTGTACACTTGGACCCACAATGTTGATACCTCTTCCCTTAACAACAAGATGGCATACATGACATTACGAGATGACAGATACATACAGTGTTAGAGTGATTATGTTTCTCTGTGATGGTCACCAAATACAGAGCTTCACACTCGCAGTTGCTGAAGTAAAGAGGTCCATCCCAGGTAAGCTCCACACAGGTACTGTTGATGTCCCTGTCACGCAGATTACCTGGCGGTTGTGTCTTCACTGTGGAGTCATGTCAGAAACATATCAATGCTGCCACTAAACCGGAGGCTGGTTGTAAAGTATCCAGTGATTAATACATGGAAAGTTATCCAATCTCTTCCACGGTGCGACTCTTGTACTGTCACACAGCCATGAGAATGGTCTTTTTCTAAACTTCCAACTGCTAGAACTGAACCATGGTAAACATGAGTATTACATTAACTAAAGCCACACAGCCGCAGAGTCACATAAAGTTTCCAGATAACAAGACTCTCCCCACCCCCCACCTCCCCACTGGCTCTTGAAAGAGCAGCAGGAAGGCTACACTGTGGTTTACAGCTAGGGTGTGATATTTGTGCCTTTTGGCCCAGTGCATTCAATTTTAACACACCCTTAATTGTGCTACAGAAGAGAGTAGACACTTGCTTTCCGCCAAAAGATTGCCGGTTCACATCCAGATTAAACAACAACTACAAAACACCCTGACTCCTAGGTTAACCCAGCCTAAAAAGGGTACCTGGTAAAGTCCTGGAAAGTAAAGGCAGCTGGCGGGATGTTGGCCACATCCATAAATAAGTGCAGACTGGTCTATAAAAATATGAGTTGCCTGCCTAATGTGCCGCTGGCATAAGAAGGGCTCTTTTCTTTGGCATCTTTCACAGCATCAGTGTTAACTCTTTCAGTCCTAGGATTGCCAACAGCTCCCACAACATCAATGTTAACTCTTTCAGTCCTAGGATTGCCAACAGCCCAACCCAAAGTGAGCAATAACAATGAAATAGAATCAGTTCATTATTTTCAAAGTGGAAACATTAGATGTGCTATATATAGAAATATCTATCCAGATTTCATTTGTATACCAAGACCAAGCTGCTGCGCTGTAGCGGCTTAACATTTGCCTGCTGATCAGAGGGTTTTGGGTTCGCATCCAGGTCGAGCTGAACTTTAAAAAAAAAAAGACCTGGGCTCTCAGGTTGACCCAGCCTTGTGTAGGTACCAGGTACAGTTCTGGGAAGTATAGGCGGCTGGTGTGATCCTGACCGCATCACATACTCTTTGCTGATAGGTCTATGAAATTTAGGTCTAGCCCTATATGCCTGAAGGGGTGGAAAGGGTCCTTGACTTCCTTACCAAGAGTAAGTATAAACTAAACAATGAAGCACTGGCTGCTGTCTGATACACTCAGACAATAGCTGATCACACATGACAGTTTCCTGGGAAAAGAGAGTAAAAGAGTTGTGGGTCTACAATCAGGCTACAACTGGTGCCACTGCTATTTAAACTATTCGTTGGCTGCTGAAGAGGGGTACACAGCAATTATGGGAAGACTCTGATGTCTGTTCTTAATCCAACTTAACTCATTGAGGACATTCACTTACTATGATCATTGACGTTAATCTGAATGACAGAAGTTGCCTTTCTGTCATAAAGTGGCTCTAGAAATTCTGAACTTGGTCGAAGGTTATGGAGGTCATACTCTACGGTAATTCTCACAAAAATGATGTCTTGACCATGCAATCGAAACTGGCATGATTCCTTGGTCTGTTCCTCACATGGGTAACCTCTGATTATGTTAAAAAGAAAACATTAACACAAAATATGAAACTAGATTATAATAAAAGAAATATATGGATACATGCTCTAAAGCAGTAGTTCTCAACCTACCTAATGCGGCCACCGTTAAAAACATTAAAACATTTCCTCAGGTTGTGGTGACCCCCCCCCCCCCCCCCCCCCCCCCCCCCAGCCATAAGATTATTTTTATTGCTACTTCAAAACTTCAATGAATATGTGTTCTGCAATGGTCTTAGGCGACCCCTGTGAAAGAGTGACTCGTTCCCCCACCACCCCGCTCAACATGTCACGACCCACAGGTTGGAAACCACTGCTCTAAAGCCAGGCTATACAAGTGGCGGCCTGCGGGACAAATCTGGCTAGTAGAGCCCTAGCAAATGTCTGGTCAGCTGCTTGTTTGCTCAGATTCTTCAGCTCAAATTTCTTCATTTTCCTGTTCCAGTGCACTGGGCTTGCATCTACTGCAGTAAAGTTGGCCTGAGACTTTCCTTCAGAACCAAAGAGTATCATCACCAACACAACAGCAGGCATCTTGTCATTTGAGATGAGGCCCCAAAACAAGTAGCTCATGTGTGGAAGATCTGGATGTTTAAAAACTTATGGCAGTTGAAAGTCTCAAAAACTAAGCTCGGAGCAAAATCGCTATAGGAAAGCATTACTTGTCAGTAATGCTTTTGCACAGTGAATATCTGAAAACATGGTCTTTTCCATTTTTCATTATTAACCGGCATCCCCATAACTTGCTGCAACTTTCATAAGAAACGTGGGAGAGAAGAAGACGAATCCCTAGACCACAGAGCAGACAGGAGAACATGTAGGTCACCACTTCATTGCAGCCATCAAGTCGCTAAAAATGTCTCACCATTTAAAAAAAATCACCATAATTCATAAATACCAGATAACAAATACTGTTTACTAAATGTTAATGGAGTAAAGAGTGAACTCCTTTCCTTTCATCTAAAACCAAAAACAAAAAGGCTTTTGCTGACTTAGCTATGTCCAGCAAAGTGATGTAAACAGGTGATTATTATGATGTCAAGACTGCGTCACAATTTTCAAAAATGCAACTGTCGTCACCCTAAGTAATACTCAACATTTGTTTGCCTCTGGCCAAAGAGTTCCATGTCAAGAAACCTGTAAAATGCTGGAAAAAATGGCTTTCTTGGGGGCAACAGATAATAATATGGTCCTTCAACTTTGGACTATGTTTGATTTTAAAGAAGCAAACCTTAGACAAGCGTATGCGAGGGTCAGTCACCCTGACCTCTGTGCTAGACAGGGGGATAACCAAACAGCTGTCGACTTCACCGCCAAAATAAAGAAGCAGCATCTGAATAATAAGAAAAGAAGGAAAGGGAAGAACTGATAAAGCAAACAAAAAGGAAGAAAAATAAGGAAAACAAGAAGTAATTGAGGAAAGAAGGATCAGAAAAAAGAAAGATGGAATTTAAATAGAAAGAAATAGAAGAAAAGGAAATGATTATAAAAATAAAAGGAGGAGGATGGCGAAAGATAAGAAGGAGAGATAAATGGATGAAAAAGTAAGAGGAGGTGGAGAAAAAGTTTATGTCTATAATATTCTTTGTCCAGATAAGAAGACAGACTCATAAAGCGACCTTTCATTTGGTGGGACAATAGCACTGTAGTCCACTGTCACATTGATACAGTCATCACAGAGGTACGTCTCTCCCAGACTCCAGGTTAACTCCAGATCTCTGTTATAGTAGTAGACAGCAGACATGTTTGTGATGTTCTTGATTGGTTCTGTTGGAAATAAAAACATCACAACGACATTAAAAGTAGTAAAAACTAGATAAGTGTTGATGTTCTTGACTAGTTCTGTTTGAAACAAAAACATAACAACATCAAAAGTAGTAGAAACCAGACAAGATTGTGATATTCTTGAATGGTTCTATTTTAAATAATAACACACCAAAACCGTTAACAGTAGTAGACATCAAAAAGGTTGGTGACGTTCATGACTTGTTCTGTTTGAAACAAAAATACAGCAATCACACAAGTAGACAACAGACAAGCTGTGATGTTTGTGACTGGTTCTGTCTAAAACAAAAATACAGCAATCACACAAGTAGGCAATAGACAAGCTGTGATGTTTGTGACTGGTTCTGTCTAAAACAAAAATACAGCAATCACACAAGTAGACAACAGACAAGCGTGATGTTTTCTTGACTGGTTCTGTTTGAAACAAGAACATAATTACATAAGCAGACAACAGACATGTTCCTGATTGGTTCTGTGTGAAATAAGAACACAATAATCACCTCAGCAGATACCAGACATGTTTGTAATGTTCCTGATTGGTTCTGTGAGAATTAAGAACACTAAACAAAAACATGAGTAGACACCAGTCAAGTGTTTGGTGTTCCTGATTGGTTAGGTGTAAAACAAGAACATCACAATTAAATTAATAGACAACAGATAAGTGTGCAATGTTCTTTATTGGTTCTGTTTGAAAATAGAACATAACAATCACATTAATAGACAACAGATAAGTGTGCAATGTTCTTTATTGGTTCTGTTTGAAACAAGAACATAACAATCACATTAATAGACAACAGATAAGTGTGTGATGTTCTTTATTGGTTCTGTTTGAAACAAGAACATAACAATCACATTAATAGACAACAGATAAGTGTGCGATGTTCTTTATTGGTTCTGTTTGAAACAAGAACATCACAATCACATTAATAGACAACAGATAAGTGTGCGATGTTCTTTATTGGTTCTGTTTGAAACAAGAACATCACAATCACATTAATAGACAACAGATAAGTGTGCGATGTTCTTTATTGGTTCTGTTTGAAACAAGAACATAACAATCACATTAATAGACAACAGATAAGTGTGCGATGTTCTTTATTGGTTCTGTTTGAAACAAGAACATCACAATCACATTAATAGACAACAGATAAGTGTGCGATGTTCTTTATTGGTTCTGTTTGAAACAAGAACATAACAATCACATTAATAGACAACAGATAAGTGTGCGATGTTCTTTATTGGTTCTGTTTGAAACAAGAACATAACAATCACATTAATAGACAACAGATAAGTGTGCGATGTTCTTTATTGGTTCTGTCTGAAACAAGAACATCACAATCACATTAATAGACAACAGATAAGTGTGCGATGTTCTTTATTGGTTCTGTTTGAAACAAGAACATAACAATCACATTAATAACTAGTGTATGCTGTAGAGACCTGGATGAGAGAAAAAAGAAGCAATTAGAAAGTTAAACAGTCTTTAGAGGTGCTAAAGGTTGGCTGTATTGGATCTCCAACATGAGAGTTTATGTTTAGACAACAGATCAACATCATGGCACAAGGGGTAACCCACAAGTGCTCTGTTATTTTTCTGATTCAAGCCTGAGCCCGAAGAATCTCAGCGCAGTGCACCAACTCTGTAGCACCGGGGAGGATCCTGAAATACTGTGGGTAGATTTTTAACTATAAATTTCACCAGGGCAGCGCTGTTAGGCTACTCTTTTCAATTTTCAACTGCCAAGGGATTTTTAAAGTGCGCAACAATACACACGGGCGTCCGATCTTACTACCCAGAGACCAGGGGAAATCACTAGGAGTCCACATAAAAAAATTCCAGCCAGGGCCTGAATCTGGGACTTCCAGCACTTGAGGCAGATGTCATGCCTCGAGACCATGAAGTCCCCAGCATGACAGTATCCTGAACTAGTGGTGCACTCACTCAGAATGCTGTTCAACCAATTCTTGATGTGCTCATCCAAAGTGTTTTACTGTTGACCTCTTACTTTCTTGCCTTCAATGTTCTAGTATGGTTTTTATAAGAAGATTATGTAATGTGGCCAACAGATTTAACTAGTCTCTTTTAATGTCTTTCAGTAACACTCTTCCCATCAGAACCAATGTATTTAACTGTGAGCAAGACATATATAACCGCATTACTTACTTTCAATATGAATGTCCTCAGACTTCAGTTCTGTAACTCTGGTCTCACATTCAAATTAATCAGCAAATAACTATGAAAGTGAAGAAATTATAGCACATGGAGAATTAGAGAATGGGGTGAGAAAGACGAGGACATGGAATGGGCTACATGCAGGTGTAATGATAGGATGACATGGTGCAACCTGGTTAGGGACCTATGTTGCATTGGCAGCTCATGGACAGGAGAAAGGAACAAGAAATGCAATTACTAACTTTCGATATGAACCTACAGAGACCAGATCTGTACATCTCATCGAATTGGCCTTTCTCAAAACAGTGAAATTACTCTTTTAATAACTACCAAGGAAAAAAAAAAAGAGAACAGAACTTACTTCTGACACAAACAGATGAAGACTAGTTTGAAACTTCTGGTCCTTCAAAAACATCTTAACATTTCTCGCTTAATTACTGTGAAGAAATAATGTTTGCAGAATATTTTTTGCACGATCTTGCACTGCCATCCAAAAGGCATGTGTGTGCACAATTTGAGCTCAACAGTCTATCAGAAAAAAGTTTTACAATCGGATACAAAAAGCAAACTTAGGGTAAAAATCGGATGCACGGATACATACATATACATACATACAAATTTACATATATGCAACAGAAAACCCAATAAAAGCTTCTAATTTCTTACTTTCAGCATGAATGTAAACAGATGCCAGTGGTTCAGTATCATTCTTGGACAAGCAAGAAACAGAGGTAAAATTGGAGTAGTCATCTGTAATTTTAACATAGGCAAAGATGCCGTCATCGACCACTGTGACGTTCTCTGTGGGTACGATCCAGGTAAGATCTTTAAAATGAGGTGTCATTTCAAAATACATGTCCTCAGGTGACACAGGAAATACGCTGTTTGTCAAACGGCATTGTATTTTAAGGGTCTCTCCAATAAACACTAAGGAATCCACTGGTTCAATGGCTGTAGAGATAATAAAGAACAGTATATTAGCATAAAAAGTATCAGTACTATTGTACTGAGTAATATATCATTTGTGTGAATCTAATAGGGACGTGAATCTATAACCACGACCAAACTGCAACTTAAATTTAAAAAAAGGGCGGGAGGGGGGGGGGGGGGGGTTGAGAAAGGGGCTCGGAGGGTGGTAGCCATGCCACTGAGTCAGTCATGTGTGTCGATTCCTCCTCACCAAAAAATGGTTGACACACTGCGTTTCTGGTGACAGCTTTTATTGAGTTTGCTCTCTAGGCCACTGCAGTTCCCTGCTGATGGGATTCTGTGTTCACAGACAGTGAGCTGCCCCGATCAAAACATTGCCAACACAGCAAGGTTGAGGCTGCCAAATCTATTGGTCATTATACCGCTTCAACATAGCACAACCACAATACACGTTGCTCCCACACAAAACAAATAGTATCCTCTGTTGGAAATGCACACTAAATTGCAGTCTATGAAAAGGGAATACAACAAATGGTGAGAATTCACAACCATAGAAAAATAACACAGATGCTTGTCACCATTTTGAAAACAGAAGTCCAAAGGGAGATGAAGCCAGACAAGAGCACTTTGTATGAAGTCAAACAAGAATTTGAAAAAAAAAATTAACAGAACTGGTGCTGTCTGCCATTATATACTGAGGATCAGACAGAGAAGTTTCAAATAATCAAAGCAATGTTTCCCCGATGTGAATTTGAACAAAGAAGACACAAACAATAGACTGCACAATTTATTGCCTGGCATATTTCGCTGTATCTCATCAGGTGCATACTACAAGATGAGATACAGCGAAATATGCCAGGCAATAAATTGTGCAGTCTATTGTTTGTGTCTTCTTTGTTCAGACAGAGAAGTTTCCGCGGCAAATTAGTCAAACCGTTTGCATCGCGCTTTGAGGGTTGTGTTTCAGTTCCACAGCCATGCCCTTCAGTTCACGATGCAATTTTTACGGAGATCCCTGGGGAACATCGACGGTTTGTGCTCTATGTGTCGTCTCGGCAGGTGGCTAGCTGTTCTACGGAGAGAGACCAAGCCATATGGGATAAAACCTGGTGCAAGGAAGTCAAAATCAAACTGCAGTAAACATTTTGGGTGTGCACTATTCCTGTGACAACACATGGGTTTGAGTGATGGACTATTTCAGTCACCATAGAAGACAAGCTAGAAAAACTGAACCTCAATGATAGAGAATGTTTCATACAATATTGTGGATTAGGAAATGGAAGAATACATTCTATAAGATCTCAACACTAAAACTTTGGTTAAAAACAGAATAATGTTTCCTAAACTGAAAGAACACAGTGGAATTCTAGGGGGAAAATTTTTAATGAAAATTACATGCATTTATAATCAAGAGACAAACAGTGTTATGTGGAAGCAATGAAGAGTACATCACAGCGACTGGAAAGAGCAGCCACAGAAGCAGACTCAGAGATATGGTACTGGATGGTTCAACTCTTTCAGTTCCCAGGGGTTTAGCATTACAGGCCCAAGGGGTGGTAAAGAGAGATGTAACATTGGCAGTCTTGCATTCTATGGGCTTCTGTTTAGGAACCTATGAATTTAGAATGCGTTCCTTGAGACTGAAGTGGTTAGGGAGATCAATATCATCATCATCAAGTGCCTTGCCAGCTGGCGTAGGTATTCATGGGCTGCCACATATCTTGGTCATTGATGTTCTGGATCAATTCTACTATTGATATTCCTCCATGCCACTGTCTGAAGCCATCCACCATCATTTCTCCTGGTCTGCCTCTGCCTCTTCTACCAGTGATCTTTCCAGTCATCACGATATTTTCCAGTGCTCCTTTTTTCATTACATGAAACTTTGTCTCCTTCTCATTGTTGTAAAAAAGTTCTACTTTCATTAGCCATTTCCACGCATTCAATGTTGGTTATTCTGGCAGTCCAAGGTATTCTCAACTTTCTTCTCAAGAACCCCATCTCAGCTGAAATCAAACTCTTCTTAATGTGTTTGCCTCCACTCCAAGATTCGCTGCCATACAAGAGAACAGGCTCGACATAACATTTCAGTACTTGTTTTCTGAAGATGGTAGGAGGAATACCATCAATGGAACTGATACAGAACCTCAAGGGTTGAAGTCTGTGGACAGACAGCACCAACTCAGCCATCTGACACAGCATATGGTGCAATGGAGCAATGCTTCTTGTTCTTCAACATCCTCCTTTCAAATGGCAGCTGACACACTATGTGGTGGTTAACAGATAGGCCATGATATCTGCGCTTTAAGACCAACTCATAAAATTTCAGCAAATTCTTAATTAGTCGCCTTTTGCAACATGTCAGTTAAGCAGAAGGGATCTATTCAACACACCCCCCCCCCCCCTCTCCCGCCACGCTAAAACAGATCCCACAAGAGGAACAGTGCCAGATTTAAAACAAAAGTTCTCATGGTAATGAGAAAGATTAACTATAAGAGTTGAAACAATAACGCACAGATGATGTGTAAGTGACTAGTACCTGCTCTAATTGGAGGAATACCAAAGTCAAAGGAATCAAACTGCCCCCAACATGTCTCCAACAAGCAGAGCACAGGCAACCTCATAAGGATGCTTGTATTGAGCATAACTGACAGGTAGAGAATCCGTGAGCTTTCCAACAAACCTGTTATGAGTTTAAAGAAAAACATGCATATTCTTAAACTCATTCTGTGCAAAGTATCTATTACATTAACTCTTTACAAATAAGCAATTATCATTGAGTACTATCTCATCACCATCATACTCTCCTCCATGGTATGTTCTCAAAGAGAATGTATCAGTTCATGTCAGAAGGTTGTCGTTTCAACTTATCTGCAAATGGGTAACTCCATAGTTGTGGCAGTGAAAATCATACAAAAAGTCGCTCATAGTCCCATATGAAAACTAGTAAACCAACTTTTAATCTGGCTTAATCCAGGAAAATTATAGGCACATAAATTCTTAAGGTTTCTACCAGAGATGCCAATACCAACAATCCGCCACCAACTGCAATGTTTAATTCAAAGAGTTAGTCAGTCATGAAAAGCTGGTCATACAAATACAATATTATTGCATAAGGCAACTCGCCAGTCCTAATGTAAACTGGCTATTAGTTCACATGTTGACACATGTCCATGCCATGACAACAGGCTGTGAAAAATCTGCTACATCTTCCTCTAAATCTCTTTCCCTAAATCTGCCCATGATCCAAATGTATTTTCTTCTTCAAAATTACTATTTCTTCCTGATTGTGATATCTTGTGTTCATATCTTAGCCTCCTTCGAGACATTCAGATCATGCCAGCTCTCCAGTAAATTTTAGACAGTCTTCTGTTACAGTCGGCTCTGTGGCTAAGTCGATGCGAATGCTTCGTAATGCCGGGATGCCGCGTTCGATTCCAGCTGCGGGCTATGCGACTTGCGTTGGTTTCGACAGTGGTATCAAGAAAGTCGACCGTCCAGAAAGCAATGGCAAACTACTGGACATAAATTTGCCTAGAAAAACCACACAACAGCCAGGTTGGGGCTGGTTCTGCAATGCCCTGCAAAGGATACACAACCTTACTGATTGATAAGGATGCTTACTGATTGATAAGTAACTTCTGTTACAACCGTGTCTCTAGGGTCTCAAAAGCTTAGGTTAAATATTTTCTGGTCCTTGATGTACCAGCACTGGATTTTTGTGGTCACCAGTATAGAATAATACAACATTCTCATGGCTTTCCTACAGTGGCCTGGTTCTGCACAACTTGGTGGAATAATGATACATGATAAGGCAAAGGAGCCCTATACAATTTAGGACAGCAAACTGATCATCACAGACTGGTGAGAATGATGCAGTGATCGTTCATGGAAATGTCCAGAGTACTGTAATGTTGGCTATTGAATCAACTGAAGTCAGATCTGACAGTTGTATGAGCTATACAGTGGAAGGGACTGAGCTTTCATCATGTAATTCTTTCACAGACAGCCGTGAGTGTAAATATCCACTGTATTAAGTTGCTACTCAATTAAGCAATGTAGTACTACTGACAAAGTATTACACGTTTGTCTTATTAGTTAATAGAATTCTAATCAGCATTTAATAACACTAAAACCTGATCCGAATCGTGTAGCAAGTCCTTTGCAGAACATCGTATTTATCCCGGTCTGCCAGAAATAAACTTGATCAGCTTTCCCACATTGTGCATTTCCCTGCCCAAGATGTGCCCATCCTCCTAGTGCTTGGCCCCAGCACCTCTTTCCTAGTACCATGCCTACTGCTATAAGTTTGCTTCCAATTTGTTGTGACGAATTACATGGCAAAAATATTTCAACTTCCGAGACAAGATGCTGTTTATCAACAAATCCTCCATGATTTTCAGATGTCAGTATTTCTTTAACTTGTGTTCCATGGAATTCTGAGAAACTGTCCATAACATTTGCGGTCATAAGCACCCATTTTCTTTCTTAATAACCTGCAAGAGTCTATCACTCACATCCGTAAGTTGCTGCAAGGTATGCTCACAAAATTATGACTTTTGATTTCCATGCTAGTGCCTAGCCACAGACTTTTAACTCTTTGAAGACTTGTTGCCAGTAACCTTGCTTATGAACTTATCCCTATCGGACAGTGGCCAGTATACTGACGTATCGTTGAGACACTCTAATTTTGTTCCGTTTATTAGGAAAACAAACTATTATTAACAAGTTTTTCAAAAATTGTAATTAACAACAGGAAGTCCTTTCGTTTGTTATATCCCGCGTGGCTTTTGCATCACTTTCTGATTTTAAAAGATTTATTCAGATTTGATACCATTTTAAAGTGATTTTCTATACTAAATAATAAGGGGAAGGTCTTGAACTGTATACATTGTCATTCATGAATCTCTGCCAGATGGTGACAACAGTCTTGATATTATGATTAATATCGAAGTGACAAACCTATTGGCCATAATTTAGTTTAGGATATAAAAGTTCATAAAATATTTTAATTGGATCATCTGTTTCAATCAGCTGCTTTCCCCATTTTCAGCAGCTGTGAAATCAGACATGTCATACAAAAATGATCATAACATCCAACGTATTTAAACTAAATGTTTCAAATAAAGACCAGCTGATTCATAATTGAACAGAGAAGGCATGTGAATTCTTAGAATTTGATAGCAGTGTTGTTAAACATGTAAAAAAATAAAGTAAGGTAAGTACACAATTTTTCATGTAAATAATCTTCATTTGTGTCTAACATCCTTAAATGTTGTTTGATTTTAAAAAATATTTTGTTGTAATACAGACACTTAAATAGTTTAGATTTATTCTGCACTCATTTATCTTAAACTTGATATTTTAAATGTCCCGATACAGCCAATATTTTTTTCAGGAAGGATTTAGCTTTGCTGTGTTGCAGTAAAAAAAAAATTCCGCTCAAAATAGATAGCAATGTTTAGACGTAAAGCTAAGCGCCGTGGGTTGGAATATTTCTGATTAATTTAAGCGTGGTGGGGAGGAATAGATTTTGATCCATTGTTTGAGCGTCGAGTGGAGGAGTAGTAATTAGGACTTTGCTGAAATCGGATGCGTTAGGATTAAAGGTGCATATACTGAAGGTTAGTGGTTAACCAAAACAAATGTTAAATTCGTTGAATGTTGAATTAAGAATCAACATCATGGCACTCCGGACACTCCCATAAGTGCTCCGTCCCCATCTTCAGCAGCTAACGAAGAGTTAAAATTCCGATGGTACCAGCAACAGTCTGATTGTATATCCGTCTCGCCCCTCCCCCGTGTGTCGAGCGTCGGCCAGATCCCCTTGTAACTCCTTGCAGTGCCATTCTCTTCAGACCGTAATGATCTATCTGTTCCTCGGCACTGTTCACTCGCTCCCAAAGGACCCTCACAACATCCAGCTTATCATATATCAGTTCACCACCAAGTGTTGCAGAACCGGCCAGTCTATCCACCTGCTCATTTCCCAACACACCGGCGTAACCTGGAGAAAATATCTAAAGGATGCTAACTGCCCGGTACCTCTAAAGTGATGCTTGCCACTCTGCACAGAGCATGCCTGTCTCCACCTTTCTCAGCATGCTCTGTGAGTCAGTTACAATGACGACATGTGTGTACAGCTGATTCTCAAGGCAACGGAAGGCAGCAGTGACCGCCTCCACCTCCATTCTCAAACTAGACATTGTGATATCTTTGTTGCGCCAAGCCACGTCCATTCGCCTTCGCTATGAACCCCCATGCACTTCGTCTGCCCCTTACCACAGAGCCATCTTTATATACAATCACATCACTTGGGCGGGAATTGTCAGGAATCATTTGTTGAACTTCTGATTCTGCAGCACCAGCTGGCCAGTCCCTGCACTTACGTCCCAAAGTGATTAAAACCCTACACAACGTTAACCACAACACAACGTGTCAACCACTCTTTCAAGGGCAAATGAAAAGAAAGAAGATGACCTACCCGTGACATGACCACTGAGCATCTAGTCGTTAACCACAAGACCGAGCGAACAGCGCAAATAGCGCAACCTAGCTGTAAACCACAACACAAAGTGCCAACCGTATTTTTAAGGGCTAAAAAATAATTTCCCCCCTGGCGGGATATGAACACCGGTTACCCACGTGACAGGTGGAATATTTACAACTGTACTACCGAAGCATTGAGAGTATGGTGCACATGAAATTACATAATAACGCGAAACATAGTTTGTAGTGTTCGTATCCCAATATGACATCATGAGGCCCTGAATGGGATTTTTAAAACAGTGAATAATTTATGACCGGTATTCGGAAGAGTGCCGAAATATATTATATACTCTATTGACTGTTTTCTTCTTTTACATACCCCTTCTGCCGTTTTTGTCAAGGGACATTACCACCAGCGAAGTCCGTCAACATTCATGGGCCTGAAGCTATAATTAAAAATTAATGTCCAGGTAATTTAATTATAATTATTATGTAGTAAAATTAAAACACACAGAAACAAATGTTGAAATAACACATAAACATTATTAACAATGGATTGTAACTTGTATGAATGAATGAATGAATTTCTACCCCACCAGGACATCACACAAGCGATAAACACCCGATGACACAAAGTGCCACCATGTGGATGAGGATCACCGTGGAGAGGTCCCAGACACCGCGTTCAGACAAATGGCCATATTGATAGCCTGCCTATATTGCGGCCCCTGGCAAAAGCCAGAGTGGGGCTTCAAATGACAAAAAATTTCGTCCTGAAAAGGACGAAACTGGATATAACATGTATTAATTACTGGAACATTAAAACTGTGTCATGTGTTAAGTATTATTGGTATTACTATTATATTATTATATTCATGTTGTGCTAATATGTGTTTCAGTATGCGCTGTGATTTTAACATAACAATAAAAAGTTAATTAATAAGTAATTATAAGCTAAAAACAAATAAAAGTAATAAACTGGTTAATTATTAAGCAGGAAACAGATTGTGTGAACAATAAACAAGTCACCAGTAAGTGCTGAGTGTAAGTGACTGACTGTAATTAGCGGACAAAAGTTGCTGGATTCACATCCTGATTGTCGCATCCTGCATCGTCTGCTGAAGCTGATGGCGACGGCCAGCGGCAAAACTTGTCGCAGCTATCTATTGTCTAGAAACGAAACAATACACACGT